TTTAGGCAGTTTGTTTAATGATTATACATGATGTATGTTTTTTGGGGGGTGGTTAATGAAAGTGTTCCAAAATAGAACATTAATTTCTTGACAACCTAATACATTTGGAACAAGTTAAACGTATGTACAACAAAAGTTTCACACTATAGATATTATAGGCATATCACAGACACTATATATAGTTCTCTTCTTGTCAAAAGTCCACTTAAGCCTATTCAATTATTTTAGAATTTTAGTTGACAAGCTGAACTATCTTCTCTATTACTGTTGCATTATTCTGTGCACTAATGTTCTCTATTCTGTGTGTGATTCACTTACAATTGTGGTGCAAATTACTATAATCGTTTTGTTTTCTTTTTTCAAAATATCCTTTGTTCCTTTTGTCAAAGTGCACTCAGGCTGATTCAATTACTTTAGAACCATGCTTTGATGGAATAGATTATTCTGCTTATCTCCTTTTCAACTGTTAGTTTTACTCTAACATGTTAAGTGTTAGGCCTATCACTTCTACGATAGTTAACTTCACGCCAAACCTTTCCTTGCCTGTAACTTTACTCTCTTCTGATATTGTCTTTCTGATGTTTCTGCTCATCTCACACTTATTTGTATGTTTATCACTTATTCGTCTTCCTGTGTTTTAGAAATCTATATATTCTAGACGTTAGTGTCTTTTACGCAACGTTCAGTAGTCTCAACATCAATGAATTATAAACACAACTTCCAACAATCTACTTTTAACTCTTATTATAACAAAAACTAAACATTAATAAAATTATCACTCACAAAATAAATTAATTAATAATATCTAAACTAAACAGTCTTTTATATCATGACATACATTATATTGAAACATGTTTGTTTCAGAGGTTTTCTTGTTACGTGCTAAACCATGAAACCTGGTACTGTTGCTGTTGATGAAATGTTCCCTGAAGGAGCTGGCCCATATATGGACATAGAGGAGGTAACAACAAAATGACATAAATCTGTATATTCACATCTTTGTTTTGAATCAGTTATTTTTCTTTTTAATGAAAAGAGCACGTTATTTTTAAGTTCTTATAAGTTGATTTCATTTACCTACTACTTGATAAACCATTTTATTGTGGATATTTAGTTAATTATACTTATTTCATTGCTTTGTGTAGGGCTGAGAAATTAATGGTGTTTGGTAATCAAATAATTAATACCCCCATTAATTGATTATATTTAGTGAATTGATTAGTACAGTGTTGCTTAAACCATGGTATGGACAAGCATAACAAATAAAAAAAAATGTGGTGTCAGCCAGTTGCATTCTCTCTAGTTAGCAGTTCAAAATTAGCAATAGTGGAGGCATATAGCCTTAGCAACTTAGCCATAATAAAAATAGATCAAGTAAGTTTGGTGGCAATGAGAATTAAAAGCGAGACCCTTGTATAATGCCCCCTAAATCACCAAAGCTGAACAAACTTGAAGTAAAAAACACAGATAGTCCCTTATGAAGCTTTCTGCTTAACAACGAACGAACATATTAGCAATTTTTCAATTACTTGGATAATTAGAATAATCAATAATAGAAGTATTTAGAAATCCTAATTATTAACTTTTAACTGTTGATTATTTTTGTGACACTGATATAATTGCCACTCATCGGCAATTGATTAAATCACTTAACTCTAGCAATGTATATAAATTTGAATTTCAGTTTACATTAGTTTCTAATTATTCAGTTTCCTCCCAAAGGCACAGGTTAGTGATTTTTTAAGATTTGTTTTTCTGTACAAGTGCTACAAAATTCAATGATTTTTTCTGGTCAATTCTGAAAAGAAGTTTGTTTTTGTCCATCTAAAATACTTCACAAAAACATCTTTTTTTTTTAATTTATGAATATATTTTACTAGCTAGTAAAAATGTTTGAAAAAAGGTACTGATAAAGAATTAGTCACTATACAAAAATTGTTCTTCAGAGTTGTTATGGATACCAACAGGAATGTACTTCATTACTTGATAGGTCTTGACAAAAGGCACAAGATAAATGATGTGAAGCTAAGGATAATGAACATTTTGTTGAAATAACTAGGTTATGTTTTGTTTAACAGTTAATAAAGGATGATCCTATGATTTTAAAACTTTTTTTTTGCCAACACTTACTAAGTTGATACAATAACACTGAAAGCTTAGGTACATAGTGCTGCAAAGGAGCAAAGTATTTATGTGCTAAGGTAATTGTAAATGTTAGCTCATGTCAAAATAGAACACTATCAGATTACCCAAAAGAATAACAGTATTTCAATTTTTGTTATCAAAACCATTTTTCCTTAAGGTTAGTGTGAAATGGACATGGATTTATGGATGGTTGCAAGGTTTTTTTATTGGTGCAGTTGTATACCTGTAAGAATATTCTGTAGAAAAACATTAAATCCGAACAGGACTCTGAAACCTAAAACTTAATTTATAAACATAAACTTTGAGAATTAAAAATAACTCAGTTTTTGTGTGGATGAATTTATTTTTACATCTTTTGAATCAATAATATATATTCAAATTAATAATTTAAGATTTTCTTAGTATTGTTGCATATCTGCTCGTTTGTTAATTTCCGGTATAAATT